ATGTTAAAAAAAAATAAAAATATTTACCAAATGTATTTTTATTTATTTTTTTTAGCCATAAAATGAATACAAAAACGAAAAAAAACAAAAATGGGCGGTTACCAATCGCCACCTTAATATTGACAAATTATACTTAATCCCATCGTCAGTGTTTTAAAATCCGGCCCGGTCCGACGGGTCAACCTGAGAACCGGAGAAAATTCATTAAACCCCCGGTTCTTGAGTAAATCGTTCAAACCGGACGGTTTTAAAAAATCGGCCGAATTAGTTTAAAAGAGATAAATACTAGTGTTTTTGACTCTTTTGGGTATTTTTTGCCCTAAATTGATTTCTCAGCTACACCTCTCGCGAACGGCTGAGGTCCGACGACCTCTCCCTCCAGTGCTCTCTCTCTCTCTCTCTCTCTCTCTCTCTCTCTTCTTTGCTTTGTGTCGAAGTTGAAGCTAGGAAGGACTCACTGGCCAAAGCTCTATCGCCGATTTCCATTTCCTAGGCGTCCCTCAAGTGTGAAATAGCACACAGCATAGCATAGCAGGTACATCCTCTCCTCTCTCTCTTTCTCTCTCTCGGTCTCTCTAGTATGAAGTATTCTGAGTTGTGGGTTTGTGGGGATGCTCTAGTTTAAGGATTTAATAGTTCACAGATTGGCTGCATGCCCTAGATTGCTAGATCCTCAATTATTCTGTGTGATGGATTTTTATTTTTAGTTTGGTGCAATTTTTTTGCTTTGAAATGTATGCCATATGTTGATGTGGGTTCAATGCATGTCTATGTGTGTTTCTCATATTTTCCCATAATTAAGAATGATTTGTAACTCCTCCACCACAAATAAATTAAATACTAAAAAACTGAGAAAAAAGTGGATAAATGTTTGATGATTTTAGGGCTTTTGTTTTATGTAATATACATGAAGAATGTTACTTTTTTTAATTATTGTGAATTTTTAGCCTATTTATTATCATTAATAATTATTTTTAATTTTTAAATTATATTACCGATTCGACCAGTGACCCAATGGTTGAACTAGTAACTCATTAACCCGGCCTCTTTCCTGGGTTGATGTTTAGGCCGAGTTTTAAAACTATGTCCATAGTTATATAAAAAATCATAATTTACATGTTTAGGTCTCACAACTCTCCATAATTTGCAAATTCTATTAACGGTAGATAGTCATCACAACTACCTTCAAACAGGATCTTAACACATTCCCTAGCATTTTAATGATTGCCCATCCATTTGAGGATGAACATCGTACCAAACTTCAATGTGTTATACATACCTGCTAAGAAGTATTGACACGGACATGGATACGATATGACACGGATATATTGACACAACGTTTTTCAAAAAAGTATGATAAGGACACGTTGGGGACACGCTACAAAAAATTATATTTTATATATAACATTAATATAATTTATTGTAAATATAGGGATAATGATGTACAATTTATAAAAGATTCAGTATTTTATGATAAGTAAATCTTATGTCTAATCATCTATGTGAATTTTTAGACTAAAACATCCTCTTAATAGTCAATAATCATCAAATTTTTTTGTAGACAATGTATGCTTAATATATAATTTAAATAATTGCTCTCATTTTCTCAATTACTCTTTTTTAAAAATTTTATGTATCTTTTGTTTTTATTATTATATTTAGAGTACAACTTTAATATTTCTTGTGGTAGTAATTATATGTTTTCAAATTTTTAAACTTTGTTAATCACATTTAAACACATGTTTATTGTTTAATAGTAGACAAGTTCTAAAGAAGTGTCAGATACGTCACCAAAGAAGTGTCGGACGCATGTCTAAAATTAAGATTTTATCATTTAATTATGGACACGGGTAAAAGAGTATTAGACACTTGTCCGAAAAATGTCGATGTCTGACACGTGTCCGACATGGATACGTCACATTCTCGAGAGTGTCCGTGCATCATAGCATACCTGTTGTATGTTTAGTCAAAACCAAGAAATAAATCTTGCATCCCTGACAACAAAACACAAATATTGGCATTCTGAGTAAACACACAATTTCATTCACATAGAATTTTGCATACCTAGTATTTCTGCTTTAACAGTTAGCAAAACAAAACAAAACCAAACAAAGCAAGAAAATAAATCGGACAATCAGGAACACCTAACAAGCAACTTCACTTTACCCTGTTATCATATATGCCAAATACACTTTATCTCCCTAAAATTTAAAAACCTTCACATGATTTATGAACTAAAATGCAATCCTAACACCGTTAACGAAAAGATTAAAATAACTTTAATACCCCTATTTGCCTCCTTCTTACCTCTCACCTCCATTGTAATTCTCCAGCAAACACAACATTTCCGCTACCTCCCTCTCTCTCTTTCCTTGTACAACGGAACCATCTTCTTCTCTTCTTTTGACCAGATTCAACGTCACCATTAGTGGTAGTCTTCATGCAAAATTGTAAAACCCATAACAAGAAACAACCAAGTCCACCCATAAAAACCCAATTTCAACGTCACCACCATTAGTGACCACTACTCACAACGCAAAACTCACCTTAAGATTGTTACCACTAGCAACCTTGACCCACCATAATCAAAACAAACCCATTTTGATTCACTGGGGTTGTGTGGGTGCGTGTGTTTTTTTTGTGTGTGTGTGTGAGAGAGAGTTGGTTCAAAGTAGAAGACAATGTTATTTTTGTCTCAAAGTTTCAAATTTTTTTTTTTTGGACACAATCACCTCTCAGATTGAGTGTGTGAGATACCTCCTGTTAAGTTGGATTGAAAGTGTAACATTGCATTTTAATTCACAAACCGCATGAAGGTTATGTAGAAGTTTTTAAATGTTAGGGAGATAAAAGTGCAATTGAGATATAAAGGGTAAAGTGAAGTTTTCCCGTTGAGTAATTGTCTGGTTTGATAAAGATAATGTTACCAAAGTTTAAAACAATTCATTTCATTGGTCAATGTGAAAAGTATTTTCATATAATCCTATTTTTAATTGACATATACTCCTACTTTAATTGTTGAGTGACATTACAACTAAATAGGTAAATCGGTTTTAAACATAGTTGTCAAATCGCGTATCGGAAGACGTATCGTTTTTCAAAAGTAGTGTATTTTATTGTGTATCATGTATTGTAAGAATTGCGCAATTTAATTTTTAAATAATTATTAATAAAATATATATACTTTTGTAAAAAAAACATAGACTCATAATAATATAGCATCTTATTAATATTTCACAAACTATTCAAGTTCCCAACATAGTTCAGTAATATCAAAATGCAAAGACCTCTAATTCAAATTTCTAACATCAACTGCTAGAACAACTTTAATATTAATTACGAATTTTGAACTCAATTAAATAACATTAATAACATACTTTCTTTTATTTTTTTAAACCACAACCACTAAACGACGTTGTTTCACTGATTAGTGATTTAAAAATAAGTCTTAGAGTAAAACATTGTCATTTCAGCCCCAAAAAATCAAAAAAAAAAAAAATTGTCACGTATCGTACGCATTGGACGTATCGTATCATATATCGTACGATACGATGCAAAAACATGATACGTATCATTTTTCAATTATCGTACGATACTAATAACTATGATTTTAAATGTAGTAATTCCATATTATTATTCTCTACTGTAAGATTGAGGGTCGAAGCTGATCTCTAGATCTATCAAAAGTATTTTTTAACTTAACAATTAATTCCTTTGATGTTTGTCATAATGGCTTCACGTATCTCAACCATATTTATTATATTTTTATATTTTTTTAGTTTGTGTGCAATACACGTGTACAATAATTATCTGCAATAAAAGTATATTAATCAACAATTATTTGATTGGAAGATTAAGTGACCATACCATAATGACATTGTATAATTATTTAAGGGTGTAATAGTCCTTAATATTTTTTTACTTGATATTTTATAGTAATATAAAATAGGCCGGTTCAGGATTGTTTGTGCTTTGAACCCGGAATAAACCTGCTAAACCAGATAAAAACGGATGAACCGTTCAAACCAGACGGTTCACTTAATTCAGTACAAATGGCTGTGTTTTGGCCCTTTTGGGCATTTTGCCCTAAGTTGTTCCCAGCCCTGCCTCTTCGTCTTGGATCTGCGCCTCTGCTCTGTTCGTCTTCGCAACGTTGGATGTTCACATCACAGCCCTGTCAGCGTGAGTCTCTCTCTCTCTCAATCTCTTACTCTCTCAGTCTCTCTTGCTGCACTGCGAGCAAGAAAAGGCAAAAGGACTCTATCAAAGTGGAAGAAACTTTCGAAATTTGAAAGAGTAAGCTGCAGTGGAGCTCCATCGAGGCATCGATAACTACCAGCAGCAGACATACTCTCTCTCTCTCTCATGCTATATCTGATTTTTAGTTTGTATTTTGTATACAATATTGAATATTTGATTGATAATGCTATATTTTACACATAGAATGAATCTTTGATTTTTTATACGCTGATTGTGATGGTGATGAAGCGCAATTAGTTCATCCATGTTCTTGCCCAAACATTACTCTTATTTATAGTTTCTTTGCCTATGTCAGATAATGGATTAACAAAAATATAATTGTATCATTGCATTGGTCTTATTTGAAACTATGATGACAGAGTGATTTGAAGCAGCTTTGGGATGACAGGCCTTAAGATCTTAGCTCGAATGGCGTTGCAAATGTTATTTTCATGATTTGAAGCAGCCTTGGGATGAACAAGCTTTGATTTTTTTACATATTTGATGTTATTTTCATAATTATTTTGATTTTTAGCTTATTTATTATTATTTATTATTTTTTATTATATTATCATTTACCAGTTTGATCAGTAACCTAAAGGTTGAACCACTAACCTGTTGACCCGGTCTTTTTGTTGGGTTGATATTCAGGCTGGGTTTTAAAACTATGACTAGGGTTTAAGGTGCGCGACCCTTTGAGTCTCGTCCATACACATCATAGATAACTAACTTTTGTTTGGATTACATCGACAATCCTCCAGTGCTGCTCATGAATTTGAAGTTCAGAATTGATACAAATTTTTAATGGAGATAAACTTGGGGAAGCTTCCATTTGATGTTGATTTTCATCCTTCGGATCAGCTCATTACTGCTGGGCTTATCACTGGCGACCTTCTTCTGTAAGCTTACTCTCTCAAATTGTTCTCGTACCATTTCATCTTTGTTGAACTTAGCTAATTACAATAATCTCAATATTTACAGTTACCGCTATTCCACTGATTCACCAGCACAAAGGTACCAAATAACACTACTCATTTTTCTGATCAGACCCATACTAAAACCTAGAGCTAACATGTTTTTTAATTTTGCTTATATTATGGTTATAACACTTTTAGGCTATTGGAAGTTACTGCACATGGCCAATCATGTAGAACAGTTCGATTCATCAACGAGGGTCGTGGTATTTTTTCCTTAGATACTTATCTATCGTGTTAATTTTTCAATTGCATTTTCAGTGGCATAAAGGTCCATGTGTAATGAAGTTAACTGCTGAGTTGCTTGTTTATGTTAAAATTGGATTTGTACCTAGCAATCGTCACGGGGTCACCGGATTGCTCGATTCTGGCCACGGATGTGGAAACAGGGTCTGCTATTGCTCGTCTTGAAAACTCTCATGGGTAGGCTTTACTATATGGGAACAATATATTTTGTTTTGTACCTTCAAATTATTGTGCATATTGCTATATTAGTGGTATATGATGATATGGATATTGCTCTTGTACAGTGCTGCTGTTAATCGAATAATCAGCTTAACAGAGTCCACCATTGCCTCTGGAGATGATGACGGTTGTATTAAGGTTTCCGTTGTTTTTAATTGTCCATCTATTTATTTGTTATCCGCTATTTTATTGTGGTCCATGATCCATTTTTTAAGTGCTTCACGATCTTAGTTCTGGAAATTTTTGGAGAAACTAAGGCAGGGCATTCAATCATAACACAAAACTTCAAGAAACTTAGGTATAACATTCAATTCCAGAAACTCCTATGGTTATGTGTGCAAAGTCATCCTCCAATAACAAAAACTAACCCCATTTTCACACTATTAACTACAAATCTTACCTCTGTAACTGATTTCCTTCTTCCTAATCTCAAATCCAACATTTAAGAAAACAATTTCAGCTTTTAAACTGAATTCCAGAACCTCTTTTAATCCTTAAACAGAATTTTCAGCTACTACATGCACAGTCCAGCAGGTTACAATATTTCTACTTACCCTAAGTCCAGCAACTAAACCCATCAATTCCAGCTTCCAACTAAAAATTCCAGCAACCAAACAAAAATTCCAACTACTCTATTCAAGTATTTTAACAAGAAAACCCTCATAGGTTAAAAGAGGTCTAACTAATCTTTAGGAATACAAAGATCTAAAGCATGATAAGTAGAGAAGCTTAGAGAGAGAGAGGAAAATTCATTAAACAAATAGAAAAGTTAATGGGCAGGAAAGAAAACACACAAGGGGCATAATGATATTCACGTGAGGTGTTAGCATTTTTAAGACTACTTGTCCCTTGTGTCAAGTTACACTATTGTCCTTAAGTTTTCATTTTTTCCTTTCTCAGAGTTATCACCGACTTTCCCCAAAAATATTAAGTTTCATCACTTTACAATTTACTGCCTTCTTATCACATTATAATTTAACCCCATAGTGAGTATTCATATTTTTACTTTAGACCCCAAACATATGCAAAATGCTATGCAATGCATGCTCGGGTCTAACATAGAGAAGGTATGAATTGCGATGCTATGTTTAGTCTAAGGTACCAGTATTTGCTTCACACACCCTTGGCATTTCCAAGATTTAGGGAAGAAAGTTTAATATTTAAATCCGGTAATTTCGCTTTGCATTTTGTAAAGTTAATTCAACTATTGCCAATAAAATCGGTTTTGAGAACAAAATTTTTTTTTTGCAGAAGCCTACCAAATTTGTGTTTTGCTCGATTTCTTTATGCTCTAATGGTTTTGATTATATATTTTTAGTTCTCTCATCAGTGATAACATTTCCTTGGACTTAACTACATCTAATTTGTAATGAAAAAATGAAGCATACATCTTATATTGCAATCTCCTTATGGGTGTCATAACTAAGGAGCTTTCATAGACAAAGGAAGGAATGCAACTTTTATTGCTATCTCATGTCATGACTTAGGGAGCTTCCAATGTGTTACTGTCAAAAGAGCTTGTGTTCCACATCGAATAATTAGGACCATCAAAGGGTAAGGGGCCTCTCCACTTATTGTCAATTCATTTTGGGTTGCGTGGTCAGTGGGTCAAATCTTTTACGCATTTGAATTTTCTGATATGCATATTTGTTTGTTTGTTGGCCCCACGTGTGAGTCCGAGTTTAACATAAGGTAGGGTATAAAGAGGATTTGAGTCCCCCATTGAATGGTTAGGATCACCTAAGGTTAGTTTATATGTGTAAACGTCTCCTCACTCATTGCCAATTGATTTTGGTTAGATGATCTAACAGTTATGAAGCTCCAATTTACTTTGGTAGTGGAGAGATGCATCTTACTGTCAGCAATCATATGATTTGTATTCATTTTAGCATCTATCAATGATTTAAGCGCTAATAGGAGCTGATTCCAAAACCCAACCTCAGTAGAAAATCAGACTCATTGATTTGTCCTTGTGCCAATATAAGTACATGTTGCCTTATTTGCACATATTGTATCTTTTGTTTTATTCTCCCTGAGGGCATCCTGTGGATATTCTCCAACCATTTCAAATATAGATAATATAAAGTTCAAGAGAAGCTTAAATCTAAATTTGATGACTCTTCTATTCCTCATTTTTCTACTCGATGCAGGTATGGGATACCAGACAACAATCTTGCTGCAATTCTTTTGATGCTCAGGAAGAATATATTTCAGATATGACTTTTGCATCTGATTCCATGAAACTTTTGGGAACAAGGTAGTCAACACCATTTTTTTTTTTTTGTCTACCAAGCCCCCCTACCCCCAAGGGCCCAAAATTATAATGTCATGAGTATGATTATTTAAGGTAGAGGGCGAAGAGGAACTGAAGTACTATAACTTATGGCGGTGCTACTATGCTACATGGACTTGGTATGCACGGCAGATGCGGGTGTCGCCACTTTGTTATAAATTTGTCTCCTCCCCCCCCTTTGTCGTATATATAGATACATTGATGATTGATAAATCATGACTATTCGTCCATCATCTGTAGTTTTTTTTGACATTTGTGTGCAAGTTGCTCATAGTCATGGGCGCTTGCCCTCATTGTGGAAAATTAGCATATGAGAATTGTTTTTTTTACCCCCTGGACAAAAGCAGTAAAAATTAGCTTAAGTATCCTACAAAACTTTGAATGAGTTGGTTATGTCTTTTTCTCCTTTCCTCGATGCTGATGGTGGAAGGGCCCAACAATTGTTTGAGTTGGACAAATCTCCCATACCTGTCTTTACCCACCCATACCCATGTCATGTCCAACATGGATTCTTTGAGAAGTTGGAAGTGTCCATAAAGCATAGAACGATGGTAAGATATTCGTAATTTCTCTATTCTTTTATTTCATTTATGATGGGGACAATGTTGGATGATGAGAAAGACATCCAACTCTTCAAAAGGTTTATATATGAATTGGCTAATCATGTGGAAAGTGTTGGATGACATCGTTCAAAAGTCTTGTATATGTGTTGCCAACATCAAATCTCTTTCCCTCGCTCTTCAAATTTTGTTGTTCTCATTGTGTACATGGGGTTTCTTGTGATCGTTAAAATTGATTTGCATTTGTTAATGAAGGGTTAAGGCTATCGGGATTTGGGAATGTTATATGTTGATTGTGAGTTGTTATTGAGGCCTAGGTCAGACAATACAGCCCTATTATGATCAGGTTTTATGGGAGGCTTGTTGGTATTAAGTGCACAAAAGATTAGTGTACAATGCTTATAAGAAAGCAACTTTGTCAACATTACCTGAAAATTTTTACTTGAAGTGATATATGGAAATGCTTGGCGCATAACCAGGAAGTTCAATGTCTATACATGTCGCAGACTATTGTGTAAAACAGAAAAATACATGGTTATGGTACTGTAACAAACTTTCATTTATTTCTTCTGGATTCTATACAGAGTTTTTTTTAGTTTTTTGTTTATGTACTAGTCTTTGAACCCTTGACTTGGTGGTTAGGGAATAAAACCTGATTCACCAAGGCACAAGGGAAACCAGTCTATCAGGTGTCAGGGACTCCGTTGCAAGTACGCATGGGTCCTTTTATTGCTGCACAGTAGTAAATAGTTTTCCTTTACTAGATAGTATTCTATTCTATTACTGGATGGCAGATTCCCATGTGTGCATTGTAATTGTTTTCTTTTCCTTGTTAAGTGGAGATGGGACACTATCTGTTTACAATCTACGAAGTAACAAGGTACTCTTTTTTGGGTGGTTGCCCATTTTTATTATAGTTGAATAAATTTTGTGCTAATTAATGTTTTCTTAATAAGTTACTCCATTTTCTCCACGTCAATTATAGGTTCAAACTCGATCTGAGTTTTCCGAAGATGAGCTGCTCTCTGTAGTGATTATGAAGGTAGAAGAATATATACTTAACTGCCATTTTTTTTATTTTAACATGGTTATATTGCATGGGCATTGTTTGTTTGTAANTTGTGATTATGAAGGTAGAGGAATATATACTTACCTGCCATTTTTTTTATTTTAACATGGTTATATTGCATGGGCATTGTTTGTTTGTAACAATTTTTGAAATTCATATACTTAGAAAAGATACGGACTTTGAAAGTAAGATCTCTGAGCTAACTGAGTGTATTTCTGTCCAGACCAATTAAATTCAACTTGAAAACTCAGACAAGAGGGATGCTCTTTATGTCCTGTTTCAATTTTTATATCTAAAAATATATTGTTTCAATCTGCCTGACTATTATTTTTATTATTATTTTATGTGATCAGAATGGTCGAAAAGTTATATGTGGGACACAAACTGGAACTCTACTATTGTATTCCTGGGGTTATTTCAAGGATTGCAGGTATCCCCTATGTGACATACTTTGTGTCAAGTGTGCATGGGAGCAGGGATGCCGATTTTTTCTTTTGGGAAAAAAATAGAACCATAAGAATTTCATGTTTTTCTCTTCTCAATTGTTGAAGTTTTTTCTGAATGGTATTGAATCTCTCTTTTGGATTTCCAGTGATCGCTTTGTAGATCTTTCTCCTAATTCTGTTGATGCTTTGTTGAAGGTGGGTTTATTTCATCATTGTTAAGTTTAGAAGAGTTTGCTTTAGGATCAATAAAACTTAAAAGGGTTCTTTCCTCCTGCGCAACTAATAGTTTTTTGTTTTTCTTTCCGTTAGCTCGATGAAGATAGGCTTATTGTTGGAACTGAGAATGGACTCATCAGGTGATAAGAATCGTTTTGTGGGCAAGACTGACTTCTTCATTTTACTCTTCAACAACTTCTCATGATTTTGATTTCCTTGTAATTTGTGTTTAGCTTGGTAGGCATATTGCCCAACAGAATAATTCAACCCATTGCAGAGCATTCAGAGTATCCTGTTGAGCGTCTTGGTATGACCACTCATTTAAGTGATGGAATTTAGAATTCTGTGTTCACACTGAGGAACTATTTTTCTTGTACATATAGTATATTGGAGTTCTGTGAAAATTTCATTATACTCGGAGGTGATATATCTGTCAATAATTCATCTCACCATTTCATTAAAAAATGTTATTGTAAATCCTCTGCCATGTTTTATAGCCAACCATACAGATCATTGGATGGGACCCGTCAATAATTGCACTTACCTGAATATTTTAAAGTGTGTATGCTGTCTCCAAACTGCCGCGATCCTTGCAACTCAGAACCTTTGTGTACTTCACTTGTTGATACTGTTCCTTCTTTAAGTTGGATCAGTTTTTATTCATTTATAACGTGTCTCTCACCGGGGTTTTTTGTTTTTTGTTTTTTGGGTATTCCAGCTTTTTCTCATGACCGGAAGTTCCTTGGCAGCATATCACATGATCAGACATTGAAGGTCTGTAGATGTCTGTGTGTGTGTGTGTGTGTGATGGATCCTAGTGCAGTTCTTCTGCATAAGGGATATGGATATAAACAATAGTATCATATTCCTTAATTTTGTACATCTCTTTTATGTAGATATGGGATTTGGATGATTTACTGCAAGGCCCGAGAAATACTATAAAGAGTTCTTCGGCTGTGGCAGACAGTGATAGTGATGAGATGGACGTGGATAGTCTTGAGAAATCCTCTAGAGGTAATATCATGTTTGGGAATTCTATGGTTATTACGAATAATGTGGTTTCTTGATTTAAAGATTGGTCATTGGGCAAAACAGAACTTGACTGTGGAAGACTGTGCTTTACAATGCGTTACCTTCTAGATGGAATTCTTTGATGGGACTTGGCAGTCTTCAATTTATTATCGTGCATGTGTATCTGCACAGAATAAGCATCATTAATTGACTTGGATTGGTTGTTACCAGTTGAGGGGACAGGTCGCAGCACAATTTCTAGGTTGTGCAGCTGCGTAATGACATTGTAAATCCATTTGGTCTTAGAATTGTCGTGGTATATAATTGGCTACTTAAATTCTTTTCCAACCCCAAGGACTAACTAGTCAGGAAACCACAATGAAGTTGTGTCGTGTCCTGTCATTTGGTGAACATGTCAAAAACTATTCAAACCTAAGCCAACATGTTAATTATTTCTGTTTGATGACCTAATAGGAACCTGACATATCTAAGTATGTTGTGTTCAAGTTGACACACCAAAAGCCTAGGATAGAGACTAAAAGTTCATTCGATCCAGATGCTGACAAAATTTGTCAGTAAACCTATTTATGGATGAGCATATGTAATATATATTGTTTTGCTAAAAAAGGGAAAAAGAAGAGCAGTACTGTCTATACATATCTACATGAAGTTTAAATGAAACATATTAACTTGCACAATTTTTTAAATCAATAAAATTTTGCTTCCTATAATTTTTTTTTTTTAATGGGAGAATGAAAGAAAAGAAAGAAAAATAATAAGACAAAATGTTCATTGTTGTTCAGTTATTTGTGCACAGTATAAGATTTTACCCATCAAGTAATTACAATATTTTGATTTAGATTGCTAATTAGGATATTCTCTGGTATGGTATTTTCTTTTGTTCAGCTTTACCCCTTGCATTGCTTTGTTCTTCGCAAGTCATCTAAGAGCCTTTGAGATTGACCAGTCATTGTATGCCGTAAGCATAATTGATTCGAGTAATCTGCCAGGATCGATTAAGGAGACATGTTTCTTTGTCACTTGTTTGACTGATCAAACATGACTAGGATTAATAAAAAAAGGGTAGGTCGAGACGGTTATATGGGTTATGGTTTCCAATCACTAACTATATCTGCATCATTTGAATGATGCATATATTTTCTTCCTTTTTTTTCTTCCTATTTTATAATTGGTAAGTTTGACATAGTTACCTTCATAAGGATATTTAATGTATTGCAGAACTTGAATTCCTCTCCATTGTTTAAGGTTTTTTGAATTGTTTTGGTGGTTGTTGCTTCCTTTATATGTCTCCAAATAGCACTTAATTACGTGTTTGCTCATATATAGAGTTATGGTGGGCATATCCAAATTTAGTTGGAGATTTGTGCCTTACCTAACCTTTTGTTGCCTTAAATAAATTTGTTGTCCAAGGTTAAATGTAAATCTTTATCAAAATAGCTTATTAGTGGATAAACTCTTTGGTTGTCTTCTAGCTTTTATTCATTGGGATGGCAGGTTTTGCACTATACTGATTTTTACATGCCTTTTGCTATCTTTTTGCAGGGACCAAGAGAAAAATTGCAAATCAAGTGCAAAATGAAAACAGTTCAAACAGTTTTTTCGCAGATTTATAGTTCGATAGTGGTATTACTCTTGCACTTTTGATAACTTTGATGGTGGCTGCTGTCCTGATGAAATGGAGATTTGCAGAGAGAATGCCCTTTTTTTATGAGTTTTACGATACATTGTATAATGCTCACATTATAATGTACGTTGGGGAAATGGGCTGCTTTTAGGGCTATCCCTGATCATGCAAACCCTAAATTATACCGGGATAAACAGATGTGGTGTTGAGGCAGTGGAGTGGGCTGTCCTCTTTTGTCTGGGAAAAATAATAAACGTTCTAGCTTTTATTCATTTGATTTCTTAAAAAAATTGGAGTGCACATTTGAATTAGTGATGAAACAACTGTTGCTTTTGGATGTTGCAAGTCTTTGTGGACCTTTCTTTGTAGCCAAATATCCAGATGCTGTTAGGACTGTCTGATAGGGGCGAGCTGGCTTGAAGCGTGCACAATCATCTCTAATTTCAGATCAAGATTTTGCATGACCAGTTGAAACTCTAATAAGTGATGCAAGTTTGATGAAAAAAAGTTGCTGGAATTCATAATTTCTATGTATGGTGTTGAAAGTTCCAACATTTCAAGAAAGCTGAAGGTGAAAATCCAGCAAATTGCATGTTGAATGTTGCTAAAGAAAATCTACCTACGAAGAGAGTGGGAAATCCCCATAGACGAGAAAGCATGAGAGGTTTTGCTAGAGAGAACCTCTGATGGTCCAAATTTCCAGTCGGGATTGGAGATGAAGAACTTGTATTTCTACTCTTTTACATTTGAAGAGTAGTATGTTAGTAAGTTCGAACATTCTCTCTTTGAAAGGTAAAACCACCCCAAGCCAAGCCTTGCCCAGGGCAAGGGGTGAGTTTATAGTAATGCATGAGCTCGGCAAGGGTAGGTTGTACTGGCCCAAATAGCATCTATGCTGATTAGGAATCCCCAAATTTTTTGGAGTCAATGGAGCAGGAACAAGATTAAAGAAGTGAAGGGCCTCCCTAATTGTC